ACCTGCAACCTAACTAGGAGATTACCTATTTAAGCTTTCTGATTATTTAACTAACGAGAGTACGACTAGCCATACATGTAACTTTTGGTTACCTATTTAAGTAGTTTGCTCTAGGTTCCACACTAGCTGCCGTACCTGCACCTAACTATGGAGAATACCTATTTAAATCCTCTGGCTCTATTTCTGTAATACGCTTTACCCTAACACTCTTAATGAGATTAGCAATACTATATAAGAACCCTAAGACTTTAGCCATATATAGACATTTATCCTTGTAGTAAACCTAACAGAATAGTACATGTCCCACACATGTACTCACCTGCATGTTTGGTAATTTTTCCTAACTAGTACATGTTGTGCTGCCGCTACCAGGTCCGTATCTCAAGCTATTATTTTGGATACTGCCATAATTCGATTCATATCTCAAGCCACAACCTTTCTAATTAGTTTCCACTTACGTACTCCTGCCTTTGCAAGATTCACAACAACCCCAGTATCCACGTTCCAACTTTCTTCTTTTCCAGATTCCTTATAGGTTCCTCCTTTACTTCTAGCCGGCAACCCGAAAGGGTTGGTCTGCCCAGGCTCTAGGTGCCTTATGGTCTCCCTCCCCTTGGTACATGCTTCCAGAGCACAAGTTCTTTTCCTCTGGTAGCGAGCTGGTGGTTCGGCTAATGTGTCCTCCTACTTAAGGACCTGGTCACTTGGTTCTCTGGTCTCAGTTTTTGGTTCCAAATTCAGTTTTTCTGTAGCACCATCAAAGATCACTGCTACTCCCAACTCAGGACTTGCCAAATGGGTTTTTGGTAATTCTGGTTTCCTGGATTTTATTATACCAAAGCTCCCATTCGAGATGGTGTGACCAAGATTACAGATATCTGGATCCAACTGATAATCTTAATGTTAACTGATATAGATCTAGTTTTTTTCAAAATCATCGTCTGTGGGATTTGAACTCTAAATCTGCTGTTTGGGGGTGTGACAACTCCACCACTTCACTAAGTCGCCACACCTACTAACAAATCTTATTATATCAAATTCTGGATATAATAAACTAAAAGTTTTTAAATTTTATATTAGTTTGGTATAAAAAGAATTAAGATTTCTTAAGAAAATATAATAATTTTATATAGCAAACTTATTTTTATATTTAGAACTAATAGTTTATTATAGAAAGAGTTAATTATACTAATAATTTTAAAAAAAAATTTATATATTGCTAGTAGTAATTATTATTAGTTTTAAAACTTTTAAAATTAATGTTAAAATTAAAGAAGATTTTTTATATAATATAAATTAAATATAAAATTCTGATTTTAGTTTTTGTAAAATTTTTAAAAATTTTGAATATTTTTATTTAGAATACTTAATTCTATTTACTTGTATATTTTTGAGATATATATAGTAATATTAGTAATAATTACTAATAATAATAAATAGCAAATGTAATAATTTTATTATATAAAAATTTGTTTAAAACTTGTAAATTTATTTTTTATAAATTATTTAATTAAACTTTTAGTTTTTTTTTATATTTTTAATTACTGCTTTACTAAGCTATATTTAATATACTAGTTTTATATTAGTACTATTATTTTTTATACTCTCTAGTCTAATATTACTAAAGAATATTACTTTAGACCATATAAAATTAGTTTTTTGGTTCTCATAATATAAAATTTTAAAAATAATTTGGCAATCTAGCTTTTAATTTTACTTTCAAAAAATTTTATATATAAAAAAATATATAAAATTTTTTGCAAAAATTTTAAAAAGTTTACTCAAATAATAAATAGAAATTTCTAATTTACACCACAGGTGATAATCACCTATAGCCAATTTGCCAATCAAAATTTAAGATCAGGTGTAACATGTAAATCAATTTTGTGTAATAAAAACAAAGAATTTTTTTAAAAAAGGTTTATATCTCAAAATTTTGTCTATAAAACTATTTTTGAAGCTTTAATAAAAAAAATTTCTTGCTAAATTTTACTATATAAAACGCTCTAACTCTAACCTTAAATAACTCTAATCTTACCCTTACCCTAATCTTAAAAAGGCTAATTTTTTGTTTTAATAAAAATTATTTATTTTTTTTTATACATTGTAGATCACAGATGATAATCACCTATGGTGATTTTTAGTTATTTTCATAATAAATATAGTAAAAAATTTTTTTTAAAATTTTGTTGAATTTAACCTGGCCAGGTTATGAAACCAATTAATTAAGTTTGTATGGCCTTATATAATTATATTTAAAAATAAAGATTACTTTTTTGCAAAATTAGTTTTTATAATATAAAAAAAAAGTTTAGATTGTTTATAAGCTAAAAATAAATAAGTTTAGAAGAAATTTTTAATTAAAAAGATTATTTATAACTTCTTGATGAATACTTTAAATATTAATTTTAAATATATAGTTCTTAAAATATAGTTTATATAAAAGATTACAACTTTTATTATTGCATTTTTAGAGATTTACTAATAAAAATCAAGACTTTATTTAGAAGCAAAAATTTTTCATATACAAAAAACATAAAATTTAAAAAAATTTTAAAAAAAAATTATATAGTAAAAATTTTAATACAAGAATTTTAAACTTTTATTATACTAAAATTTTTAATAAATTTAAAAAATTTTCTTAATAAAGTTAATAAAACAGATCTAAAATTAAATATTTTATTTAAAAAATATATAACTGAAATCAATATTTAAGATTTTATTAAAAAAATTAAAATTTTTAATTAAAATACAAGCATACAAATTAAGGGATAAGTAAAATAATGTTTGTTAAGCATAATTATTTGTATTGTAAAGTTTGGGGAATAAATATTAATAAACTAATAAAGAAATAACATTTTATAACAAACTAGCCTTCATAGCTTTGTGATCTAATTAATATTAACTTTAATCAAGTATAAGTACCCTTGATTTGTCTTAAACCATCTTGTACACTCTTATAATCTCTCTAACTGTATGCATTAATTGTACTCGCATTCTTTTATATTAATAAGCTTATAGTCAATTAGAGTTTTGGAATAATTAGAGTTTCAGAATATTAACTGTTAACCGCCCGGTGCCTTTTTTTTTAACTGACCCGTTTTACCCGGGTGGCACATTGCCCACCCGTCGGATGACCCGGTGAAGATTTTTAGACGGGTCAATTCACTAGGGCCAGGAAAATAGTATGCATTTGCAGAATAAAGAATATGCATTTATTTATTAAGTTTGTTAATGGGCAAAATAATTAATATGCATTTAAAGAAGTTATGCATTTAGGGGATGCATTTAGAGGGGTCTGACTGTAATTCAAATCATAAATGTTAATCGGTTTATATCTCTAGTACCAACGATCCTAAAAAATTTCGCTACTATTTCGCCAGCCAAGATACGGTGTAACGCGAAGAAACGCAAAAAATAAAAATATTTTACCTATGAAACTGTTAACTTAATAACCCTAATTTAACTGCGAAAATTTTTTAGAGAAATTTTTAAGTTGGTAACTACGCTAGGGTTTCAATTTTTGCGTTCTGCAATGTATTCATTATATACATTTTGCGTACATTAGTCACAATCCCGCAATAGAAACATAAAATGCCGCATCTAACTATATCGGAGATATATCAGTGTAAGTTAGTTACGTGTCATAGTGAAAAGTTGGCATATAACACAAACGATCGACCCTAAGCAAACGTGTTTGTTCGTTTATAATAGTCTTTTTTTTTTTTGATTCTTTACCTCTTTATTAAAAATTTAAATCAAAAAAAAGAAAAATACTCTGCTTCCTGTTTTTTTTTTTTTTTGGAAATCAAGATTTCTTTGTTTCGATTTTTGAAAATAATTTCACAAAAAAAAAAAAATATTTTTTGAAAGTGTTCCTTCTTAATATGAAATATAAGGAGAAAAAAGGCGAGAAAAAAATTAATATTCAGATTTGCCACGGGATAAATAATCGTTTGTCATACATATTTTGCGTAAAAAAGAAGTTTTGCCATAATTAAATAATAAAATCCATAATAGGGAGGAACATAAAACATAACGAAAAAAAATTATTATATTAGTTTCGTATACTTTTAAAGGGGTGGAAAAAAATGCATATATGAAAAAATGAGAGATTCTATAGTTATCATTATTATGCGAATGCGATATTAAACTTAATTAATCATTGATGCGAAGGAAGGAAAATATGTACAAGATAAAAAAAAAAAAAACACTTAATGCGAATTGAGAAATGTAAACGAAAAAGAATAAAATGATAGTGTGATAAAAAAAAAAAAAAGAAAAAAAAACGTAATCGATTTTTCTAAGGAAAAAAAAAGTCTCGAGTTTTTAAAACACCATATGATCATTATTCTCATTAGAAAATTATTGAAAATACAAGATCACAAAAATTATACAAAAGAAATGTCAAATTTCGAATAAAGAAAATGCCGTGAAAAATAAATTGAAAAACATTTTGTTTCCACCCATATATTTCCAGTTTCCCGTTTGTGGAAATTTTGATTATATATAATATTATGATTTTTTAACAAATTAAATACGAAAGTTCATTTTATATAAACGTGACAGACCATAAATGGGTCATCAAGTTTCTCAATATCCTCGAAAGATAGGAGCATGATGGTTTAGCATTTTAACACCTTCAATCTCTCCTTCATAACGAGTCTTCTTGACGGACCTTCCTAATCTATGAACTCTAAGATGTCGACGCATATTACTCTGTACCGAGAATTTTCTACCACATCCGGGTTCCGTGCACACAAAAGGTTTTTCACCAGTATGAGAATAGGTATGAATTCTAAGAGAGCTTGGTCGTGAAAATCGTTTTGAACAATAAGGACATTGGTAACGGTTCCCGCTTGAAGAATCATTTGGAGATATTTGACCATTGAAATGATCAGTATGATAGCCATAATGTTTTGTGATAGGTGTTAATAACGAAGTATTTAATCGTGGAAGAGATTGCATTGTTGATAAAGATGGTTTGCGACCGAATGGAGAGATCGGGATTGGATGAATAAGTGGCGGGCAAGACGAGTATCTTTGTTGGGAATATGAAGAGTCATGGATACTAGAAGGTGATTGCTGATTATACGAAGAGGATTGGTAGGTGGGCGTGGATCGGCCGACGCAGCAAGAACATTGTTGTTCAGAAGTTTGAAAAGCTATATATCTTTCATCATGGTATTGAACTTGTCGAGAGCCATAAGAGGTGGCTATTTCAGGTGATTCTGGTGGTGAGAGCAAAGGTCTAATACTACCAGCGTGACTATCGTAAGAAGAAGAAAATTGTATGGCGTTCCGGACCGGTGAAGGAGAGGAGAGTGGGCCTATAGAAACATAGAATTTATACATGTGTTATTTAATATATATTAAAAATTTTGACTAGGCTTCGATATGTACTTACCGTGAACATCCTCGGTAGGGGAAAGAAGGAATTTAATCGGAGGAAGAACAGTGTGATGTTGCATGATTTTATTTTTTATTTTTTATTTTATTTTTTATTTTATTTTATATTTATTCTTATATTTTAACTTTATTTTTTTTTTTATTTTTATTTTTAAACGAAAAAAAAGAACACTTATGAAGTCTTTAAAAGTCTTTAATAAAATATTTCAAAAAAATAGTATTTTTAAAAACTAAATTGGAACAACAAAAGGATTTCATGGAGGTTATATATTTTTTTGTCATAAAAAATTTCGGAAGTTTTTATGGAGCATATAATTATTGCAAATTGTTTTAGCGAATAGAAATTGATATTACATAATCAGATAGGCAAAAATATTTTGTATTGCATCCATCTTTTTTTTTTTTTTTTTTTTTTTTTACGAAAGATCGACGAAATAGTTCAAAGATCAAATAAATTTCAGTTCTCTTTCTGTTTGAGATCATTCAAAAAAAAATGATCACCATAAATTGTCAGACGTACACCAATTAATGCTAATTAATGCACGCTCAAACCATTTTTTCTATTAGCGTAGATCGTAAATTCCATAATGGGGAGAGGCGGGAAAGTAAGATCTAGGATCTCACGGAAAGTAATTTCGGAACCAAAAGTATCATTAGATCAACACGGGTTTCACATATTACTATTCATTTTGAATCCAATAATGGGTATAGTATATTACATTTGGAAATTCATTCTTGGATAGCCAAGTCATTTGATAAGAAAAAGAAACATAGATAAAAAAGATTTGCAATCTTGAGAGATCGACGTTTTGTCACATTCAGTTAATTAACCATTATTTAAATATATAAATAAAAAATATTAGGTGGAAAATAGATGGGAAAATAGAATTACTAGTCTTTGTCTAAAAAAATTATCCACAAATAAAAAAATTACCACATACATTAATGACGATTATGATTATCGAAATTTCTTTTAATAATTGAAATTCTTTAATTGATGTGTTTATAAAATAAAATAAAAAAGAGAAAGAACAGAAATGCAATGAAGATCACACTCTTTCGTAGATAAGTTTGTCCGTGCCAAGATTTTCTTATAGATAGACGAAATTTTGATAATTAATCATTGCAAATGCATTGCATAATATTTAGTAAATATTGTGATTTTGCTATATGCTTTTCAATCCACATGGAATTAGCTGTCCATACGTAAATTTTTTAAATATTTATGTGATCTTTTATCATGTGGCTATCGGATTTATTAGGACGATCCGTGGTTGTAGATCACTAATTCGTATTTGATTATTATTATAAATGTATTTAAATGTGTATTTATAGAAGTAACAAACATCGACGATCTCTTAGACATTCATATCTTGAATCGTGATCATAGTTAACCAATCAAATTAAAGCATTATAGATGTTATATGTGATGTCATATATCGTGATTGGTTCTTTAAAAAAAATTTTTTATTTTATTTTATTTTTTTATATATTATATATAAAAAAAATATATATATATACATATATAATATATATATATATATATAATATATATATATATATAATATATGTATCTATCGCTATATACAAAATATTTCGTATGACGGCTCTTTAAAATCTGCGAGGATATTCCGCTTGATTTACACAAATATCCAGCATTTAATCAACTAGCATTTAATATCAATGTTTGACACTAACAACAAGGATCTGCATAAAAAGCTTTCGGTAAATGCCGATCCGTAAAAAATATTTTAAGATTATCAAACATTACAAAGCGCATAAAGAATAAGTCTAACGCAGCTAGGAAACAAATTATGATAATCTACCGCAAAAACGATGATACCGAATCCGAAATTTTATAAAATATGTATTGATTTGTAAGTTAAAATGTTATATAATGCATTTATAAGCGAATAAATTTATTAATTTATTGACTTTATCAGGAATTCCGCGGATAATACTTATGCCAATTTAAAAAATTATTTGTAACAGTAACGGCAATCCTGAATCCGACATCAGATCGTCAATTGAGAAATATTGAGAAATATACGTATTGGTATACAATGCAAAGATAATTATTATTTTATTAATAATAAAATTCTGTTTTTCTGATTACAAATAACAAAGTTCTATTAATCGATCCAATGGACTATTTTTTAAATTCTAAGGTTAATCTAATCGGTTTATCACATTACGCAAAGTACATCCTAACTGTCAAGCATCACTACCAATTATTTCTCATCGATGATGTTATTTATAAATATGATTAACATTAAGGATCTTCCAACTTATTACACTGCAGTTTTTTAAATTTCATATTACATAAATGAGAGCGAAAAAAATTAAATGAATATTTTAATATTTTAATTTTAAATGTCATAAAATATATATTAAATATATAAACTTATATATATATCTGATATATAATATATATACATAGAATACATATTTATTATATACATAGGATAAAAATTTATACAGTATTTAAAATTTTTAACGCTATCATCACGTAATAGCATCAAAACGCGTCATAAATTGTTGTTAATGCAGGAATTTTCTAATTCTTTATGATCGCTGATGCAAGAAGATGTAATTCCCAAACTTAATGAAGTGCCAAGGGAATTTTGTTATCGGGGTTTCAAGTTTATTGCTTTCTGACTCCGTCTATCCGATTTCTTAGGGATTGTGTCCGTAATTTATAAATTTAAAAACTCCGATTTATGACAGGTTTTCCCTTGCCGACATCCGTTTAGTAAGCAGATTACGTAATTTCCACATTAGCACTTTTTAAAGTTGTTGATTTTCTTTCTATATAGATTTGTTTTTTTTTTTTTTTTAGGCAGGCTAGCTTGTTTTATATTTCGTATGAAATTAAACCAATCAAATGGTTCAGTCAATATGAATTATTCTAACCATGTATAAATATATTTTTATTCATTCATTCGGGTGAAATTGCATCTTTATGTATTTATTTCTAGTTAGCTTAGTTTCCTCATTGAACATATTTGAGCAACCTAGCGATAGTATATTTTTTTCGTTTCAACATAAATGGCAAATTGATGATAAATCATGTGAAAAAATTTTCCCTGCAGCGAACTTGACTTCTATAAATACTTATACGTAACCTTGATCGATTCCATAAACCATAGGTTTTTGCGTCAATTAATCAAAATTATAAAAATTTTATGTCGATATAGCATTAGACTAATTTTTGAATACCGTACTGCGTACTGCGCAAACAAAGTACTCATACACGAGAGTATCTTGACTTTCTAAACGCTGTAATATCATAACTTATAATGATAACAGATAATGATTAATACGTATCATTTTACGTAAATACAGTACATATGTGCGTACATACGTACAGTACTAGATACAGTGCATTTATACGTATATACATATATACATATCTGATATGTACTGTACGTACGTTAAATATTATGTGCTCGCCAAGTTGAGCCAGAGTTATAAACTCGTACGTATGTACGTATAACTCGCATTATCGACAAATTTAGACTTTGCCGATGCCACTGAAATTATTAAGGTTTCACCGCTCTGAAACATGTATGGCATTACATTAATCCATAGGTCAAATAAGCTAAGAAAAAAATGATGTCAATGAGCATAAGTACGTAACAATTTTCTTATATTTAATTAATAATGTTATTTAAGAACATTCTATATTCTAATTTCTTAAATTTGTGCAAAAAGATAGACGATTAATATTAATTTCGCATCGGAAATACCTTTTGGAATGTTAGTACTAAGTGTCACTCAAAGCTTCAATATGGTGTATACGTATTAAAAATAGCATAAAAGGATTCGTATGATTTAAAAGTGGTTGCATACATACATAATATCGTGATCATAAATATAGAAATACTGTCAGGTGATAAATGCATCTTTTATTTTCTCATGAAATCCGAGAATAGTTTTTTTTCTCTTATCGAATGCAAAAATAGTTTGATATAAAAATATAAATTAAACCACCTAATTTTTTTCAAAGAATTGTGATTTTCTTTTTCTTTATTTTTTTTAAACAAAAAAAAAGTCAAGTTGAGGAGAATTTGTTTTTGTGGACGAATTTCTTTTCGTCGATCACCTTTTCATCTTGTCCTTCGATTGCGTATCTTTGGTAAATTTAACAAGAAAAAAAATGATACGAAAACTGAGACCTATCCACAATGATCTATCATGATCTAGCAGTATTGGGAAGCATACTCTTGAAATTTTCATTGCTCGTATGTCTTTGTTTCCCTTAAAAAATATACATTTAAATTTACTTTTTCACCAATCTAATATTTCTGTTTTCTAATTTATCATCAAGATTTAAAGAAAGCATAGAGGATTCCTAAAAATCCATCCATCACATATACTCTGGCTCTTTTTAATGCTTATCCAAAAAAACTTTAATGCCTTTCAGGTTGGCATTGAATTTTGATCACTAATAACATGATAAACATTTTGACGCAGATGCTCTTTTTTTATTGTTTTCTTTAATAAAGATCAAAATATATTCTGCAAAATATTATCTTTGAATAAACCATTTGTCTATATTCGAACAATCGGCTAGCTTTCTTCGTTTGATAAAAAGATTATTTTGTTGCAAAGTATTTGTGAAGTATAAATTAAACGCACATGCCATGTTAATGATTTTAGTCGAATTATACACACATTATTTACAAGCTTTTTTTTTTTTTTTTTAGGAATATTTGTACATACAACTTACTTTCGTTACAGTGAATTCTTGATATCAGATACTGTATACAGTGTTGTCACTAGAAGCTTACTGGATGCCAGTGTTTTCAAATGACCAGGTCATTTGATTTTTGAAATGATGTGACTTAAATGACTAAATTTTCATAGGTTATTTAGTCACATATTATTTTAAAATTAAGCAAATCAAATGACTATAAATGATCTAAAATGACTTATGTCATTTGTTCATTTTTGACTTTCAATTAGTATTTTATAAATTTAAATACTATAATTATCTTTGAACTTTATTTTCACTTATCTAGAAAAATTGCTAACAAGAGAAAATTGGGTTGATATTTGTAAATGTTGTATATTGAATATATAACATTTGTTTTGTTATTGAAAAATAAATAAGAATTAAAAAGGTTAAATACAAGACATTTAAAGCTACTAAGATAGGAAATGCTAAAACAATAAATAAGTAATGAATAAAAATTAAAAAAAAATTGTTCTTGTTTGCAATATAATATTAAGGATTTTTTTAAATAATTACAAGTTTGAACTGATAAATTTTTTAATGCTTAAAAACAATAAGTAATAATAATAAACAAAAGAAATTTATATTGTTATTGAAACATTTATACTACTAAAAAGCCAAAATTTTTTTACTAAAAGAAAAATTAACAGCACTGATTATATATACTGTATAGTGAAGATTCAATAAATAAATTATAAATTACTAAACTTCAACTTAGTATAAAGTGTTTTTTTTTTTAAAAAAAAAATATAACTATAGTAAAGATTCTTTTATTAATCTATTAAACTTCAATATATTTATAGAAAATAAATATTTATATAATTAAAATTATATACTTTTTTATTTAATAATCAATATAATTTTTGACAAGATTGCTAGTATTTTATTTCAAATAATATTATAATGTATATAATATATCAAATTCTATTTTAAGCTGCTTTTTAAAAGAATCCAAATATGATCTATATACTGTATATAGTAAATAAAATTAATAGATTTTATTTATTTATTTTTTTTTTTAGCTTTATTGAGTAATTACAGAAAATTAAAGTCTCTATTAGACGATACTAAATAAATTTATATAAAAATAAATAGCAAAAAAATAAAATAATTTGTATAATTAGCAGTTATAAATAGTTACTTTTGATAACTATAGTGATTTAAGTAATTTAATTACTAGTTATTTGTTATTTTAAAAAACTAAATAACTAGTTACTTAAAATAACTAAACTATATATATAGTATAGTTGTAATTAATATTGGCAAATAACTTATAAATGATATTGTAATATTGTTATTTATTACAATTTATCATTTGTTACTAAAATTTTAAATAATATTATTATTGTCTATTACTGATAATTGGTATTTAAAAAAATTTTTTTTGAAAAAATAGATTAGCAAATTATGCAAATTTTTTTTATATTACAGTAAATAAATAGTTAATTAAATTATACTATTATTATATATAAAATATATAAAATTGATATCTTGATATACAAATACTTGATTATATTAAATTAGTACTAGCAATAAAATTAATTTGCTAAATTAATATAATTATATACTATAATACCACAATGCTATAATACTACAATACACCTTCCCAAAACTGATTCTGTCAAAACCAATAGCCTGTTATAACTGATAAAAAATTGATCTACCATGTTTATTTTATAATTAAAATCTGATAACTTGTTATTTCTAATAATCAATACTAATAATATTAGATATCTATAAAATATTGGTTTTGACAAATACTATAAATCGATTTAATTAGCTCAGATCAGGTTTTGTATAACAGATTATATATATAAGAATTATAATCTAGCCAATTATATTTAGTTATGATTATGTAACAACAGGCCATTAGTATTTAAATCTGATAACTTCTCAAAACCAATACAAAAGCTATCTATTATATATATCAAATTTGAAAAAGTATACTATATAATGTTGTTATACTATAATATTATTATATTAAAATACTATAATATTGTTATATTTAATTAATTTGCAATATTGTATTAATATTTTACTTGTATTATATTTTTTAAAGTAATTTTTAGAATCAAGATAACATAGTAAATTTACTAATTTTACAAATAAATAATTATTGATTATTTAAGTTTGTAGTAAAAGATTATTAATTTTTTTTTTTACTATTTATGAATAGTATCACTATTTATTAGTAGAATTTTATTAAACATTAATTTTGCTAATATGTAAATAATTACACTTTTACTAAAACATACCTATAGTGTTTACCATCTAGGTTTCTATTTCTCAAAAATATACTAAGTAAACAGAATCAGGTATTCTAAGTAAAAATGTTTAGAATCTCCAAAAACCTCACAAAAACTGAAATTGGGTCTTATATTAGCTCTATATTATATTATATAAAAAAAAAATTCTTAATACTTAAACTCTAACCCTAAATTTTATTAAATACAATTATATATGATGCTAAAACATCATAGATATGTTTTATAATAATTGAATAATTATATATATGTTACAAAACATATAATATATTATTTTTGCTTGTTTTTATCAAAATCAGATACTTATACTATACTATATAATATATATATATAAATAATTTTTTTTTGTCTAATTTTGCATCTTGTATAATATTAATAATCAAAAAAGAATTATACAACTCTAGCCCAAAAAATTCAAATATTGCTTTTGCTACAAAAAAAATATACAACAAGGGCTATAAGCCAGGCTTGCTATATTAATTCCTTTACTATTTTCTATATTAAGAAAAGATAGCTTAAGAACTATATGCTTGAAGATTTAAAAAAAGTTGATTACTTATCAAAAGTAGGTAAACTAATTCAAAAAAAGATTGTTAACTTAATTATTTTTCAATGCTACTTTACAGCTATATAGATAGTCTTTTATCTAAAAAAAAAAAAAAAACTAAAAGTTTTAGCTTTTACTATTCATTAATTTGTAATATAGACAAATATGCTTGTATTTTTATTAAAAATTTTAATTTTTTTTAATAAAATTTTAAAATTAATTTTAGATATATATTTTTTAAATAAAATATTTAATTTTAAATTTGTTTTATTAACTTTATTAAATAAATTTTTAAAATTGAAATTAACTAACACTGTAATAGAATTATATATTTATTTTAATTAGAATCATTCAGATTTTTTATAATTAATATTAAATATAGTCACATAAAAAGATAAGATGATTCTTTATTATTCTACTTTACAATTATTATAAAATTGTTGTTAGAATACTTTGAGTTCTCTGTTTTTCTTATCTTTAATATTTCTATATATTTATATAATAACAAAAAAAATATATTAGTTTAAGTTAAAAACTAGATATATTTCAAAGATCAATAATACTTTTATATACAGTCAGACCTCTTTATAGTCACCTTCTATATAAGCACATTTTCTTTATAAGCATATTTTTTAAAAAACAAATTATTATTAAATATATAAATTTGACCTCTATAACTGTCACACTTCTCTACAATAACACATTTTTGTATTCCATGTGTGTGATTATAGAGAGGTTTGACTGTATATCTAAAAATATTACAAGTTTCAAAATTCTTGACTTTTTAATTTACTATTATGTTATTTCTTTAATATAAATTTATAGTTTTTTAAGATCTTATACCTATATATTGCATATTTATATTCTAATATATATATTTATTATAGGTGATTATTACCTGTGATTTACAAAAATAATTAATTTTTATTAAAACAAAAAATTAAACTTTTTAAGATTAGAATAAGAGTTAGAGATTAGAGTTAGAGTTAAGGTTAGAATAGTGCATTATATATAGTAAAATTTAGCAAAAAATTTTTTTTGTTAGAGCTTAAAAGGTGATTTCATAGACAAAATTTTAAAATATAAATATTTTTTTAAAAAATTCTTTGTTTTTGTTATACAAAATTGATTTATATATTATATCTGATTCTAAATTTTAATTGGCAAATTGACTATAAGTAATAATTATCTGTAGTATAAATTAGAAATATTCTTTAAAATTATAAAAAATTTTAGTATAATAAAAGCTTAAAATTCTTGTATTAAAATTTTTACTATATAATTTTTCTTTAGATTTTTTTAAATTTTATATATTTTTTGTCTATAAAAAATTTTTGTTTCTAAGTAAAGTCTTGATTTTTATTAGTAAATCTCTAAAAATATAATAATAAAAGTTGTAATCCTTTATATAAACTATAATATTGTTTTAAGAACTATATATTTAAAATTAATATTTAAAGAGTTTATTAAAAAGTTGTAAATAATTTTTTTAATTAAAAATTATTTTTAAATTTATCTATTTTTAGCTTATAAGTAGCCTAAACTTTTTTTTTTATATTATAAAAACTAATTTTGCAAAAAAGTAATCCTTATTTTTAAATATAATTATACAAAGTTTTATTTAAATATTTTAGTATTAGGGTGTAGTGACTTAGTAAAGTAGTCTAGTTGTTACTCTACCAAGTAGCAGATCTAGAGTTCGAATTTCATAAATAACAATTTTAAAAAATTGACTATATTATAGTTAATAGTTATCTGTCAATCAGTTAGATTTAAAATTTGTAATCTTGGTAACA